TGAATGACAAGGCGGTACCATCGACCGCTCACGTTACTGTGAATACATTACATGTATATGGGCAGGAGAAAACTATAGTATTGAAGGATATAAACGTGATAAATGTTCAAGATGCTTTAACGCCAGCAGAAATACAGTGTGATGCGGCTGCTCTTGTTTACGACGCCAGTAATCCAAAGTCATTCGAGTATATAGCGCGCATTTACATCGTAAGCATCGCGTCTTTTTGCATCTGCTGCAACGATTGAAATATATTCACGATGATAAACAATGCACATGTCTTTGCAGAAATATTTCGCCGATAGTAAGATTCCCGTTCTGATAGTAGCGAATAAAAGTGACCTTTCTGAGGTAAAGCAGAGTTATCTGTTGCAACCGGCTGCCTTTTGCAGCAAGTACAAACTGATGCCTCCACAGCCGTACAGCATCTCACGAACGATCCGACGTGAGATCTTCGTCAAATTAGCTACGATGGCAGCCTTCCCGTAAGTTTATCTATCACACTTTAAAAACGGTATTAATGAAACATGGTCGAATGGATCTCGGGCTGCCTCGATTCACATATAGTAGATATTTTCCTTTGCAGCTGACATATCTGAAAGTATAAATTATGCGTCGAGATTTTTAAAGCTTCTTCGCTTATTTTTTTTTCGTACGATATTTTCCAATTGTGATTACTTTCAGAAAACAGTGTTTTATGCCGCACCTTCTCCTCGTTCTTTTCTTTAAATTTAATTTAAGAAAGAGTAGTGTAATATTAAAAAAGAAAAGAAAAAAAAGGAGATAATTCGGTATTAACAATAAGATATTTCGTGTTTAGCCGCTTTCAAGGAGCGTGGGTATTATTTTACCGAGACAGGTTGGTTCGAATTTCAATTTCACACTGTAAAAATCTAGAAGCTTGAACAAATCGTGAAAACTGCATTCAATTAATCGTCATATATTCCTCTCGATGCATGTGCTTACGGAGTTAACTCCGGATGATTTCCAATTGCTTGAGACGTCTTGACACAAACATAGTAAATTAATTTACATATTTTCAGTATTAATAAATAATTTAACGTTGTCACGATAACTTCATGTACTGATTAATAGCTCTCGGGCTGAATACGAATGTAGTGTTGTGACGATGATTAAGGCGTTGGCAAATTATTTTTTTGTGTTAATAAATAATTTAATTCTTTTAAGGTCACGAGTTTATCGTGACAACAAAGAATATGTAATTGAAAGGATTAAATTCTTTATCAATACTAAAAATATGTGAATTAATTTGCTACGTTTGTATAAAGATGTATTAAGTAATTGGAAAGCACCCTCCATCTTCTCATGTTAAATGTGTCGGGCAATTTGCTCATATTAAAAAATGTCATCGCACGGACCAAACGTTACAATGTAATTGGCTCTTTTCAGTCATATGAGGCGTACAATCCACATGTTGCTTGTCGAATCCTTACCCTCTCCATGGTGGAGTTTCACAAGGTTTTATTTCACATTATTGCTTGTGTTTCTTCCTTGCGTCGTCCACGTGTTTTAAGTCATAACTTAATAGCGTATACACCGCTTTTTTGGTTTCGTTCTTGCATGAGCATGCAATATGTAACGAATCTCTTACGAATTTTCTATCAATTTAAACTGCTTTTCTTATACATACTCTGAAATCGACATGAACTAAAAATAACATATCTATATTGCAATTTTGCACTCAACAATGTAACCGTTATATAATACCATACATATTAATTTATATTGTTAAGTGCGAAATTATAACATTAAGACGTTATTTTTAATTAATGTCGACTGGATAGATACTCTAACAGGAAAATTTTTCCTTTCAATTTAGTATCACTTGTATGATAAAACTCCATTGTCAATTGATTCGAATTTCAGTATTATCAGTATTTATGTCTGTGTTGCTCGCTATATGTATCACTAAATATAATCACGATGTTTTGAGAGTACGGCAGTATGGTTTTATCATGCTAGAATAGTCAACGTTTCTTGCGCGACTAACAGTAAATCTTGTGCTTCGACATTTCAGGCACATAAATCAATTCGGCCTAATGCAAGGGGACTCCTTGGTCTGGTGGAAAGCAGGATTGGGAATTGCGATCGCTACGATCGCGGGCTACGTGATGATGCGTGTATTGAACACAGAAAAAAGATAGTCTATCATATTCATGCTATTTGTGCGTGTTTAACTGCCTCTTCTCGTCGAATAAAGAAAGAGCCGTATTATAGATAATCGCGATATATATAGGACGAATATATAAATATATATATATATTCATAAATCACACACTAATTTTCGAAATATACAATAGCTAAGTATTAGAGAAAACTATATGATAAAGTGCAAAAATATTTACGTGTAGAGGCGCTTACTTGGTTCTGGTCAGAATACCGAAGTTTTTATTTGTCAAATCCTCATCCCGGTATATCTTATCATCTTATAAAAGCTATTTTCATCTTCTGTAATAAGTTATTTGTTTAATGTATTGTAATATAAAGTGGGAAAATGTGAGGCACTGTCTATACCGTCTATTTCTTGTTCATTTCACACAATCTACCATTTTAGTGAATTTTAAGGTGTGTGAATATATTCTAAATTCTCGAAAAATGATGCGATTAGATATTTATAATTTTCTCATTAATAACGAAATTAAAGTGTAACTTCATTCAAGTTTTAATTTATTGCTGTATTGTAACATACATATGTTCGTGTATAATTTAGGAAAGATTAAAGGCAGCTGCCAACTTACAGAATTTAAAGAAACAAATTTATTACTATCTTGGATTGATCCAGGACTATTTTATTCTACAATATGTAACAATAAACAATAAAAATAAACATAAAATTTCGTTAATGGTCTACAGATCGTAGAGCATGTACTTTAATTTTGCCTAGACATTTCTAGATTTGCTGCATCTCAATTTACATAATATCTGAAAACAGAAAATGAAACAATTAGCAATCTCTTTACACATGGTCTGATTATAAAAGCTTGATAATCTTCAACGTGTTCTTTCCTTTCTGTTTCTTGCTTTTTTCCTCTTTACAACCGTTTTATCGTGTTTCTTGTTTCTTCCGAAATTCGCCAAATTTTATCAGGAAACGAAGAAACAGGATATGAGATAAAAAGGCAAGAAACATAAAGCAAAAAGTATGTTATAGATTTTCTAGCAAAACATAGAGTGCTTTCCATTAGTGACACAAGTCAAAAGGATTATTTTGTTGGCATTCAATGAGTATCAAAAAATAGAATGACACTTGCATTCATCATTTCATTTCTTGTTTAATTTTGAAACAACAAGAATGAAATGATGCTCATGAGTATTGTGAACATCAAGTGGAATTCCAAATGGAAAACATCCACAGTGTAACATTTTTGTCTAACATTGGCAAACAACAAGGATGTTAATAATTATCTATGTTATACTGTATTATTTATATCTGTTACTAAAAAGTGTCTAAAGATAAGAGAGCAAGATTTACTGACTGTTGGCTAGCTTGCATTGACGGAGTGCCTCATTGAAGCCCTCGCAAAGGCTCAAGTCATGATTCTGAGCGCATTCCAGGAACTGTTTGACTTCCCAAGAACAGGCACCAGCAGCTGATGCCGTAGGAGTGTTTTGGGCAGCAGCTTGTGGTACATCTGCAGCAACAGGAGTAGCAGCCTCACTGCCTCCACTGAAGAGTCCTGTCATGGCATGACCAAGAGTATGTCCCACGGCAGATCCGATGGCGACACCACCAGCAGTGGCAGCCATTTGGCCCATGAGGGACGGCTGCTGAGGCTGGGCCACCATTGGTGACGCCGGCGGAGCATGGGCTGGCACTCGGGATGGAGCTGGCGCAGCCACGGGTGAACTCTGTCTGACACTGAAACGAAGTTACTTTTCAGAGGATTCGTTTAATACCGCATTCGGAAGGAAAAGGGCGACATTTAAAGTTTTGCGTCAGAGACACACGTGAACTTTGTCATAGTGATGTAACGGGGAGCGCCAATGAGTAATGACGTTTTCGTCACAATGAATTTATTATCTTGCCATTAAAGATACGTTAATTACTCACGTTCTCGGAGGAGGAGCGGCGGCACGTCCACGTCGTGGCATCTTTCTCAAATTCCTTTTGATCGCGTTATAAAAATTAGGAGGAAGACTCGTGAAGTTACTTGAAATTATGTTAACAGTGATTGCACCTAGCTTGGTTGACCACGGTAGACTGACTAATACTAGATAGACTTCATAGACGTTGCGCAGTCTTTCGCGATTCAGTAGTCAGTTTGTGCAATCGAAGTAGAGTCCCTAAAAGTAAGAGCCTGGCTAAAGATATTCCTCTATTTTTGTGAATGACTATCACTTTTCATCAAACTGATGACTGCTCCAGCAAAAAAAGCAGCTTTGCAATTGTTGTAAAATTCTTTAAGCTCGATCGCGCCGATTGTACAAATTGTCAGTTGTGTAAACGCACATGTGTGTAAGCATATATACACACGCCATATTTGATGAAATTGTCCAGACTCTTACTTTAGGACTCTAGATAATCGAAGTAGTGGAAAGCGACACTCGTGACTCGAAGCTGTTTCTCGAAATTTCCATTGATTTCTGCCTCTCACGATAACGACCCGTGTCTCTCTCTAAGAATATATGCTATAAATAAATTGATCCCTGAGATTTTCCGTATTTTCACAAGTAATCGTAACCACGTAAAAATTGGCTAAGATATCATAAATTGATAGTTTCATATTAATCGTTTCTAATATTTTTCCTTACGATATTTACGATATTTCACAAGTTTGTTCTATGTAACTAAACTTTTTTCGCAACTTACACATAAATATGTGTCTCTTTTTTTTCTCCAATGTTTAATGGCATGTTATTTAAGGCTATAATATACGTTACGTGTATTATATATTTCGAGTAAAATTTTCCTCCGAGAGAAAGTTTTGAAACGTAGCCTAAGATATAGTATTTCGAGATTTATGATTATTACTTCATTATTAGAATGGAGTAAAATTGATATAAATTGATAGAGGATCGAATAATGTGAAACTACAAACAACAAACGATAATGTAAAGTTTTTATTCTTCGCACATTGCAAGAAATAACAATTGTTGAATTGTATGATTATATTCCCTCCCCTTTTTTAACTTTCCCCCTCTCGTTTTCAAGTTTGTTGATTAGGCGATACAGCTGATCGTGGAACGTAGGGTAGAGTGACGTAGAATATAGGGACTCACAAAAGTCGAAATAAATTTCACGCACTTCGCTGCAATACATTCTTACGTATGGATATGTATATATAATAACGTAGAATTTGTTAGTAGAAAATCGCGCTCGTATTGAAAGCAAAAATAAAATGCTGAAGCCGAAGGCGCTCACTCAGGTTCTCAGTCAGGCGAATACCGGGGGCGTGGAAAATACTTTGTGAGTAAGAATTTTACAGCGATCAGCGTTAATAGAGTGTCGTGTAAGCTGATTTCTTTTCGGTATAAATTTGCTTGCAGTATTTCAGGTTTCATTCTAAAAACATGTCATTCGTACAAGAGTAACTTTGCACAAAGTGGGAATATGTACCTTTATTTTTTTTTGTTAATTGTTTTTGTGCACAATATTTAGAAATCGCGAAAATCGATGTCTTAGCTCATACAGCACAGAATTTACAACAATATCGCTACAAAAAAAAAATCTCTGCAATATTGCTGCAACATGCAATGTTGCAGCTGTGTGGTTGCAACTTTTGTGCAACTTTGTTATAGGAGAGTAATATTAATAATAACGCTGTAAATTGCTGGTAAAGATACAAGTTATTACATGGAAAATTCTACAATCCTACATCTTCATTATACCAGAATGTTTTTATGTTTTAAAGTACCATTAAATAGATATTAATTACACATTTATATACACATTTCAGGTTGCTCAACAGAGATGGTGGATTATTAGCATACAGTGGTTACGGAGATAAGGACGCTAGAGTTACAGCTGCTATCACAAGTAACATTTGGACAGCTTACGAAAAGAATGGGCGAAATGCCTTCAAAGAAGACGAACTGCAGTTCGTTCTCATGGATTGCATGGTAGCAACAGATTAGAGTTTTCTTAACTGTTTTAGAAAGCAATTTCAAGAATTACAACTCTTTCTGATTTTTATAGGAAGGAAAAGTCGTTATTACAGAGGTAGCCAATTTACTCTTATGTTTGTATGCAAAGGAGAACGTAGGATTTGGATTACTGCGCGAAAAAGCACAGGCGTTGGCTAAGTATCTCGATCAACCCTTAAAAACAATAGCAAATATGCCTTGAATGGTTACGTCACAATCGATTCACTTTCAAGAGTCTGCAGTGGTACTCGAGAGATTACGAATTTAACTTATGATATTTATGGTTTATAGGAATTTGTAAGTTGTACTGTATGTGTATAAATATATTTTTTATTAGTCCGAAGTATCAGCGTGCGTGCATTTCCATTTTTTAATATGTACATTTGTACATGATTGTAAACGCTATCTGAATATAAAGACATAAATACAATAATATATAAGTATATAGATAAATGGAAGTAAGGGTAAAAGCCACTCTTTAATGTATATAATAAATCTTTTATTTCATATAAGTTACAATTAATACAAACAATTTGCGTTTAATTTTTTTATTTCACTTTACAAATCACACACTATAATCATAAGGACTACTTAACATAAGCTCACCTATCGGAAATATAATGTCAACAGTTGTCGCATGTGTGAATTATTATTATTCAATGCATAAAGTTGTTACCAATTTATAATGTTAGAAAATACGAGACTTAAAAGACTGCACGATTGGCGAAAATGAACAGCGTTAAATATCTACATTCTTCTTCGTCACTTACTGCGAATTGCACTACTAGGGATAAGAGTTATTGCATAGAAAGTTCTAAAGTTTTATATCTTTATCATACTGGAATATTTATACTTTTAACTATCATTAAATAAATGATTTTGATTACGTTTCGTGTTACACATCCATGTACATACAAGGACGCGATGGATGTTTGTATGTACACACATGCGGAACCCGTTCCATTAAAATCTTCAGCATTAGAGTGTGTGTGTGTATAATATATATGTATATATATATATATATGTGTATATATCTTTCCACAATTAATAAATATTTTTAGTTTCTATAAACAAGTTAGCGTAGCTTGTTTCAGAAGTCCGATGCTAATCGAGGTGCGGTAAAAGCAAATTCAAAATTATTAGAAGCACTCGCATACTTTTGTCGTAATCATTCGACATCTCACAGTGGAAAATTCTTAAATCAATAAAACTGAAAAATGAAATTTATGTAATGTAAATAAAGTCTTACATGCGCAATGGTGTAAATACTTCCACATACGATAACTCCTTTACGTCGCTGACCTCGTGACGATATCTCCTATCATTATTATTTTAGTCTTTAATGTATGTAAACGCTATGTTACTTCCTAAAGCCAAACACTGAATAAATTTATCTATAATTGTTAGAAATCTCTACCTATGAAAGTACAAATTTTACACGAAGATAAAGAGGATCGAGGGCGTATATATCCGCATGTGTAATATATGACAATAATGAACGTTAATGCCGACTAAATTAACGATTAGAATACATGGGTTTGAGCTAGAAAATAATGTTTTATATTAGCCTAACAACACTGTACATAGCACACGGGATTAACAATATTGGTCCTAAAGTTTCTGAAATTTCGCAGTACCAAATGAATTGTTGTTAGCCGAAATCGCAATGCAATGATATGCATTGTGTTGCATACCTTTCACTGCTTGCGTATAAATATCTGATATATATCCCTTTTGATGGCAGGTATCTTTTGCCTATGCCGAAATAACAAACACCAATCGATGGCGCACAAAATGCAATTGATTTGTATTCTGATTGTATTCACTCGACAAAGAAAAATACCGTGTAAATATGTGAGATAATAATTATACACTTGTATACAATATAGTTCTAATGGCAATCTATAACAAGCCAATATTACATATGCTTTTCCATTTAACATTTTACATATATTGTCTAGGACACTTTTTCCTTTTTCTCTTTTAATAGGCCTTAAACAATTGACAACCTACATCTGTTGCAAAATACACTTATTACCACGGATGTAGGGGATCATATTGTAAATGCAAAATAATTCACGAAAAGAAAACAATTCAATTTTTTTTCCTATGTGTGATAATACACATTTCATTGATTCGCGATAATGTAATCATATTTCGTATTTTTTTCTTAAGACATGGTGTATGAAATGTGCAATGAATACTTTTAAATTGTATACGCTCGCCTCGCTCTTAAAAATTTCTTTTGCAATGGCATTTTCAAGAATTTTAAATCCCTACTTCTCTCATATATGTCAAATCTGTATCCTTAACAAGTAGTGTAATACAATTGCTTTGTTTAGAAAAAATTCCTTTCCGTATTAACAATACATGTATAAAGTCAGCTTTACATACTGATAGTTATTAGTATGTGTCTCTTGAGTTTTGAAAATTATCACGTTAGATATACAAATATCATTATGTTTTAGCGGCAGTGCGAAGGTAAGTAATTTAGACATCTTACGATAAGGATACGGATGGGAAAAAGAACTTTTGTACAATTTAGTACAAAAAGGCAATCTCTACTATGTATTACTACTGAAGATAAAAATTACCGTTACCATAAAAATTTGTATGAAACTGATTGCCTCCAAAAATGCCATTCATCCATTAAAGTATTTAATAAAGCTAAAAATAACTGCAGCCATTATGGAACAACGTCATTTATTAATAATATATAACTATATTATCTATAATTAAATATATAGATGTGCTTATAGAAAAAGGAAGGTTTTTACTTTGTGTTTGTTGTATAACGCACACGCGCGCGCGATTATCTGTATATAAACTGTATGAAATTATTAAACTATTCCATTCGTGAGATCGACATTTTTTTTCTTTTCGTCTTCTGGGCACTGTTAATAAAGAGGAATAAATTAATAATAATGTGTTACTTTCGGTTTTTAAAGCTTCATGTACAATCTCGCTATGTAATAAATACATATCTATAAAATTTTCTTTATCCTTTGCACTGTAATGTCCCTGTAGATTAACATTATCTAAGAATAGAGAGAATATAATGGAAAAAGAGTATTTAAAAGGGTTTTATAATTTAATACTTTAAATGTAAAAACGAAAACAGTCTTCATCTTGTCGCAACGCAGCTGATCAAACTAAAGGAGGCAAGGGAAAACAAGGACGGATCTAGACATTACATGCGTGAACCCTTCTGCTGCAAAACCTAGAATGTAATCCAATAATCTAAACTTAATAAAATTGTATTAATTTCACTTCACTTATAGCTATACTTAACATTAATTACAAGATCTATTACGGAAAATTGAAGTTATATAGTTATATAGTTTTATTATCATATAAAAAAAATTGTTCCGCCTCTGTTACATATTGTTGCCATAAACCAATAAAATAAGAAATACCAATACGCTAATCTAATTATAGCTATATACTTTGCTCCCCAAAAGCTACCTTTATCGAAAAGCAAACCCATATTGCATTAGTATACATATTAATTTAATACTATTTTCTATATTGTATAAATAACTGTACATAAACTATTGATGGTAAAATATACACTGTGGACAATTCACTCTTTATGTCGCATAAAGGATATATGAATAATTTGGCATGCAATAATGATTCATGCAGGTCATACGGGGCATAAAGTATATATATAACCACAAACCAATGAAAGAAAAAATTCTTTATTCAATGACGGCATGCGGTACAATAATAATAATAACAATAATATATATGGTACATACAACAAATATCAGAGGCAGAACATGCTCATGCGAACAGGCCTCTGAGCTTTACAGATTATTAGGCGGTTCTTTTCAGTTTAACATGGTTTCAAAATATAAAGAATATGTGATTAGATATATATATATATATATATATATGTATATATATATATATATACACATACACACACATACACACAAATATATATGAAACAAACCGAAAATTCGACAGGTTTTTATTCCAAATTTGATCTGAAGAAAATAAAAAATATTAAGCCACCTAATAAAATCTGTTGCTGAACATTTCACGTCTACAACAAAATTGTTTTCCTTTTCATTTGGTCCCTTTATAAAACAATTAAGCAAAATAATTCAATTCTAAGCAATCGTCAAGAATATTATATGCAGAAAAATGTATTGCTGAATTAAGCGTAAGTGACAAAACATGAGATAAAATTCAATCTCATAATAAATGTGTATATATAAATCATTTTTATCGCGTATATAGTGATAAAGCTCATCTTTGGTTTTCTACCCAACCCAATCCAACCATCAGTAAAGGCAAATTGTTAATATCAAAAATAATACTGCTTATTTTAACTTTATCTTATTAAAACTGATAAAAAAATGTTATTTAATTTTACAATAGCGTTAGAAATCAAAAAAAATCAATGTTGGATTGCAAGAGTAAATCTTCAGCATACAGTAATAGATACCGCTTATGGAGTGCTTAAAAATTTATATTTTTTTCATTCAGTCAGGAAAGCATTCGCATTTCCATATAAATAAATAGATGTTTATTGCCTTAATAATTATCTCATGCGATCCAACATGAAAAACAATAATACCGACACAAATTACTTAGGGGATACATAGTTTTACTTAAAAATGGTGAAGGTATTTAATAAAAACGTGATTGAATAGCTAATAAATCTGCGTCTATCATATATCAGCTTGGATATAACAAAAACAAAAATGATCGCGTCAGTCATGGCTACTTTGGCTCAAATAAGGATGGGAGACAGTCGAATAGGATAGCGGTACCTTGACGCGATCCGTAGATTCCTCTTCTTTACAGCTGAGCTGACTAGATCCGTATTCTCTGCTTACCACACATAAAAATTCCGCGTGATCATCATTACCATAGTTATATTGAGAACCTATGTTGATTAGCTATAAAAACAGAAGGAAAACAGCATTTATATTAAAAAAAAGCAATAAGAAATGCCATTGCAGGTTGCTAATAGTAGGTACACAAGAAATTGTATAAATAATTATTTCCAGCAAGAAATATAGCATAGCACAGTGATCATTTTATCTTTGTTTAACATTGACAAACAATAAGAATCTAATGATTCACATTCTGTATTATACACATATCAGATTAGAAATTGAGATTGAGAATGAGATTGAACCAATCAAAATAAAGTTTGTTAAATTTTGTATTGATTTCCTTTCTTCCAACTAATCAATTTCAATCTTAATCTTAATTTCTAATCTGACAGTGAAAAAACTAGTGCAACACTGATACACATCGAATACAATTTAATGCAAATTAATTCACATAATTTCAATGTTAATAAATAATTTAACTCTTTTAATTACATATTCTTTGTTGTTATGATAACCTCATAATCTAAAAAAGATTAAATCATTTATTAATATTGAAAATATATTAGGTGTTGGAATTAATTCGTAGCGTTTTTTAATGAAAGAATGTTATTTATTTCACATGAGCATTAAAAAATACATTAATGAAAGTACTTCCCATCACTTGTAAAACGCTACGAATTAATTCCAACACCTAATACGTAAACCAATTTGTACTCAATTGCAATCAGTATTGCTTTAGTTTTTTCAATGAAAAACGCTATCATATCATGTTGCTCACTGGAAAATACTCAATGTTTTAGTTAATAAAATATAAAGTAAATATAAATGAAATAATTGTTAATACCTGTTCAAATCTCCATCCGTCCGACATTGTGGACACCATCTGTGTCAGCTCATCCTCATGACATTGGATAACTCTATAGACGTGCTTCTTGGAATCCCTCTGTGGTCGAGTATCCCTCAGAATAATTCTCTCTTTGACTAGCCGAATGAGCTCAGTGATATTATAAAACTCTGCCTCTTCCAGTACACCTTCCTCTGTTAAATCCTTGTTGATAACCAGTTTACCATGGCGTAGATAATTCAAGATTGGACTGAAGTACATAGGATCACGGTCTATCAGGTATGCTCCCGTTTCATCCTTGGGAAAACAAAACGTAAGTCATTCACCGCATTTCGGTACGGGAAGCGCAAGGATCTCCGTTGGGAAGAAATTCGTCGTCATTCTCAACGTCAATGTGAACGATGAAACACGACGATTGTTCGGACGGATTCGTTTGAAATTCCCGGTAAGAAATAGTGTCAACTAACCCTGTCCGAAATAAGATCAGAGTCTTCCTGACATAACCGGTAGAGAAACGAGTTCGGATCCCTCGCCAGGGTGGTCTTCGCTGTCAAGAAGTACGTCCCGCCCACGTTCAGTCGCACCCACTGATTCTTGCACCGCTTACCGACATGATTCTCTGTCATCTCGTGCGAGTTCGTATCGCCGAATTCCGCCATACTTGCATTGGCATCAATTGACATTAAAGGGAAAGTAGATCAGGTTGGGTCACGGGTTCGCGGGGCGGCTGGTCAGTGCAGCGTCTTAAATCCGCTGAAGTTGTCTAATTTGGAAAAATAGAAATTGTTAACAGCTGTAAAACGATGTCCGATTTAACAGTTATATCATTTTGTAATTTCACCTGATAATTTTAGAATGATCGTGAAATTTCAAAGCATGCAATTTGCCTGGAAGAGAATATTGAATAAAATAAGTAGCTAATTATTATTAATTTTGTTTCTTTTTTGTTATTATTTATAGTTTCGCAATTGACAATTATATTTTGTTAATTATCCCACTTCCGATCTACTTACGATATTGAGATACGATTCAAAATATTGCAGGACATACTTGTAATTGTTTTCAGTAACATTGCCGAATATTAACTAATTATCGAATAATTATGCGCGGATTTATTTAACAATAAAGTAAAAATAACAAAATTTATTCGGATTTATTATTTATCCCGAACGATTCATTCAGATTCGAAATGGATTCAAACGGCTGCCATGTTTTCGAGGAGAGCTTCCGGCGTCAAGTTTGCGGCTTCCGGCGCTCGTCGTCTCGAGAGCGGGTAACTTTGGACGCTCGGTTTTTCGTTAGAGTTTTCCTCGTCTGGTCGTTTCACGGGAAAGAAAGGAAAAGGTAAGAAAGAAACGGCGACGCGTTACGCGAGGCGCAACATTCGTGGGATCAGAAGAGGATTCCTCGCCCGCGGGGGGAGGGGGGGAATCATCAAGTACACCCTGGACTCGCTCGTGGTCTGGGTTCGAGGCTCGGTACATAAAAACGTCCGTACCCCCGCGGATTACCGGCAGTCATTGCGACACGATCACTCTATCGTGATATGCGGGGCGCCGCGTCGCGCGTCGTCCCCGCCGCCGCCGCCGCCGTCATCGCCGTCGCCGTCGCCGTTCGCCGTCGCCGTCGCTGTCGCCGTCGCCGTCGCTGTCGTCGTCGCGGACCATAATTGAACGTCGCGCTGCACGCAAGCTTGGAGCAACGCCGTGCGAGGATGCCGGTGAAGGTCGACGTGGTTCCACCGCCACCCGCGAACTCGAAGCAGCCGGGTGTCACCAAGTCCCTGCTCTACAACGGCTCGCGCTTCCAAGGCTCGCAAAAGTCCAAGGGCAACAGCTACGACGTGGAGGTGGTTTTGCAGGTTAGTCGTGCACTCCTTGCCGTGTCCCCTCTCCCTGACCCGATCGCCGCCGTTATGTCGTCATTTTTTGGAAATTGCGCCACAAATTGGCGAACATGATCCCGTCGAATCGGACGTAGAGGAAACGTTCTTGACGACGGCGAGGATGCCTGAAACTAATCATTTCTTCTCACTCTTTCTTCATCCTTTCTCTCTCTCCCTTCCTCTCTTTGCAACAGATAATTCACATATTTGCGTACAATTAAAGTTGACGTAAGCTGGAACAGGATTGTTTATGATACACATGGAGTGAGATTAGTTTGATTCTTTACATCGCGTTTGTTCCGTTGCAGCATGTGGACGAGGAAAACAGTTATCTCTGTGGATATCTGAAGATCAAAGGTCTTACGGAAGAGTTTCCAACACTGACGACATTCTTTGACGGTGAAATCATCTCGAAAAAATATCCCTTTTTGACTCGCAAATGGGATGCTGACGAGGATGTTGATAAGAAACATTGGGTTCGTAAGCTTATTGCTCAAGTTGTTGCCATATGTAGTTTATCGATATTATGTCTTATTTTAGTACTTATTTTTCTCAATCTTATTGTAGAGTAAATTCGACTCGTTCTGCCAATATGCCAAAACGTTCAATTCTGATACATTTGATTATGAGGCACTGAAAGGAACAGATTTTGTATTTATGAGGTGGAAGGAGCACTTCCTGGTACCTGATCATACGATCAAAGATATCAATGGTGCCTCCTTCGCAGGATTTTACTATATTTGCTTCCAGAAATCCGCCGCCACGATAGAAGGCTTTTATTATCATCGTAGTTCCGAATGGTAAAACATTATATTATAAGTTAGAGTATCGTAAGTAGTTATAACGCTAATTACTTTCAATTAGTGATATTTGATTTCTGAATACAATAATGTTATATTTAAGAAAAATTCATATCGCGAACATACTATATGAAATGATTAAAAAGATACTTTTATGTACATTGTTTCAGGTATCAATCCTTGAATTTGAGACATGTTCCAGAGCACAGTATACAAATTTACGAGTTCAGGTGAAGTCGATACGTTTGCTGAAAAATTTCACGATATTCGCGTCTTTTCTTTTTTAGCATACAGATCTCATAAAAATTTCGTCTTATAAATCTTATTAGAAGTATCATAATGAGTCTGTTTATTATTCGTGACACACCCCACAATTCTGGGAAAGATTTACAGTGAAAAGTATTCGGGATATCCTTTTAGTCAACTATGTTAAAAATTGTTCAGATTATGAGAATTGGAGTGCCTATTTAGTGAGTGATCGACTGCGGAATAATTAATTCAACATAATTGATTGTAAAACGATTTTAGTCGAAATAAATTATCTGATGCATATCATTTTAAATTATTGGTGTTTGTTATTCAATAGTCTGACAAAAGCTTCAAAATATTTGTTTGTGTTTATTGTTATTGTATGCATGATTCAAGTACATTCAATATTTTGGCATTTAGTTTTGATCACTGACTGAAGCATATTAAAAAGTTTATATGTGCATGACATTGTAAAATCGACTATTGGTTTTACGAGTTTTGTAACGATGATGAAAATAATTACATTATTTTGTAAATTTTTTTTTTTCACATTGTTTAAAAGATTTATGAGATCTGTTTACTACATTAGAAAAGATCAAGTGTAATTGTTGTTTGAATGAAGCTGTACGTATGTCTCAAGGAAAAAAGAAAAACGGAAACGATAATCGCGAAAGCTATATCGAGATTTGATCTTATTTTATGTTAAAAATTTATTTATTTTATGCGATTAAACTATCTGACTCTAATGTATTTTATACATACATATATAAAATATATGTATACCTGATTTTAAGAATAGGTATTAGACATATGTTGGCTGTTCGTAAAACTTGTCTTCATATTTTTAATCGAATGTTAATTAAATGTAACGATTCCCTTAGGAAAATAGTACACCGTTGTGATAAGCATTACTATAATTATATATATATATATATATATAAGCTGTAATAGAGGTAATCATGTAGCTTATTCGAGATTTATATTGGCATACTACAGCTCTCATTTGCGTGTGACGTTTACGGAACCGTTCTCGATCACCAGTGATATTGATGTTTCAAATGGAATATATTATTTTCGATATTACTTTTTATTTAGCTTTGTGAAATACTAATAATTTTGTTTTTCTTTTTATATTTGTGCTAATTAATAATTTACCTAAATACTCAAACTGATAGAACAGTCATATACTGTTTATAATAAAAACACATACCGAATCGATAAGTTCATGTAACAAACAGTCACTTTGGATATTGGAAAACGTAGATATATACGTATAGGAAATATATATTTAATATATCAGATACCTTAAGAGTACACTGATATTGTTAATTATGTTAAGTCGACCTTTATTATAAAAAAAAAAGCTCTACTGTTGTCACATCCCTATAAATTATGTGTTGTTGTGTTTCTTTGAGAAAAATTATCTTTATATTATCAGTTATTGATATCGATATTACATATATGAACATACCGTGCAAAAATGTCATATCAATCTGTGAAATTTTATTTTTTCAGTATTTTTTTTTTTTTTTTTTTTTTTTTTTTTGCGAAACTGCGAAACTCGTCAATTTCAAACGCTAACTGAATTTAATTTTTGCTTAAAAAATATACAATAGAAAATATGACATTTATTGACGATATTTTACTACACATTTACTACACAATTATTTATGAAAGGATCGAATTGAATACTTGTTTTATAAGACGTCTATGGGTTTATAAATATTCGATTTATTTTCATTATACAATCGCATGTGCTTTAAACTGGAACACAATTATAAATGAATATAAATTGAAATCGGATTTCGCTATTATATAAATAGAATCACTGTAGATGGAAATACATCGATGTAAGTTACAATGCTCAAATTGACAAGAAAGTAGTATTACAAGTTACTAAAAAAGAAAATTTTGCCAATTCCAATGATTGAATTTAATAAAAAACTCTATTAAGAAAATCGATTAATAAACTGTAACTAAATCGTAGTTAAAAAAGCTAGAACGTGTTTACTATATACAGCAAATGTATGAAACAAGCTCTGTATGAAAAACTCTACTCAACAAAATTAGTATTTCATTATTAAATTAGAAGCATTTTGGCAAACGGGACGGCATTTTCCGTTCTTCCCTTTCTTAAAACGTGGCCCCCTTTAAGTGAATATTCCTTCGTACATGAAAGATAGCATTATCTTGTAACAAAATGTTTATATATAATTAAAACGTGTGAACTCTATTTATTAAAGAAAATTTGATATTTCGAAATAGGAAGTCCGTTTTCAAATCTTTACATATCGATTACATGCACTGTATAATGCATTAATGTGAAGTTAAATTTATTTAGTACATCTCACAGACAAGTAAGCACATCGTGTTATATTCATATAAAACAATATTATAATATAATTCTTTTTTTTTATATACACAGAATATAATTTAGTTAAATCTAACGTAGTATAAATATACAACTCATGTGCTTTCCTGGCATCGAGTGATTTGTTACAGACAATGTTGTTAGAGATCGAGTGTGTTTCTACCTATCTATCTATCTATATTACACACAAACGCATCTCCTGCAATCTTACACTGTACATGTGTATGTGACTTACATTTAGGTAACATAAAATAAGACGATACTTTTAAATAACATATTCAGGGAAGGGAAGGTCCGTATTTCGTTGAACACGGACGAGAATAAAGTTCGTATCGCTTTGCGCGATTTACAATTATCGTATTATCGGGGAGAGAGATAACAAGATAAAAAAAAATGAGGAAATTATCCGATCTCGCTCGATCAACATAATGTAATGGTAAAAACTCGTGCCGTAGAAAGAGTCAATTTTATTGCTCTTTATAAAACCGTCTTCTTAAAAAATATATAGCTCTTCCGCGCTCGGTAACCGGTAGTTTCCGATAAAACGCGTCGTAAGCAAGTGAAAATATATATACATATATATACATATATATATATATATATATATATATATATATATATGTTGCTAAATATATCTCGAGTTAGCTGCTCTAAAACTTTCTACACTTATGCTATCATCATTAGTCTACACCACAACCACCGTAGACTTAGCGAACTTGTACTTTTCAATTCATTACTCGCTGCTCCTGTAAGCTTATGATCGAAGAAAAAACATTCCGCACAGAGAGATACGTTTGTGGAAAGAGATGCTTTTCCAACAACGGCCAAAAAAAAAATAAAGCAGCTTACAAGGGCTTTAAAGTATGGGCACACTCGAGTCGCATAATGTTGCGTGATATATCGCGTGGGTATTTTATAAATCTTCGTAATTCTGACACGTTCTCTTTACGCGATGAAAACTCGTGCGAGCTTTGCAATCAATAACACTCGGTAACGTTTAAGCGATTTCTTTGCTTACGTGCCGCGACTCTCTCTTAATTTCGTACAACAGATGGCACGGATACATGACAGCTCGTCTCCCTTAAGCTCGTTAATTCGGATGGTGAAACTGTGTGCGCGGCTCGCGGATGTGTGAAAAAATATATATGAAATGTATCATGATATAAACGTAACAAGTATATCCCGTCAACGTTGGCAAGTGACAAATTGGAATTTCATATATTTATACTATTTCATACTAACAGTAATTACTATGAATTGTGAAACAACATTGTAAACGCGTTTGCATTCTCGATAAAACGAAGAGGGAGAGGGGAAGAACGCTGATTGCTGCGCGACGCTTTTGTAAGTAACCGCTACCCTGACTTCTGTCCTTTGTCACTCTCAAGACACTGTGCAGGAATTGCGACCGACACAACTTGTGCGGGAATCGGTGATGCTGCCGGGTGAGCTGCCGGGCGTCGACAGTCCACCGTTATTGTGACCCACCCCGACGAAGCGTAACTTCCGATGATGCGATCCCAAACTCTTGCTCGAGCTTAACGAGCGATTGCCGTTGTAGCGTAGTTGGGATGTGGTCGTCATTGCGTATGATTTCAAGTGCGATTTGATGGACTTGGGCAACGGCAGTTGATCGATACCGTAAACCGTTGTTCGGGCCACTATCGCACGGCACGCCAGTTCTTGCAGGCTGAGCACTGAAAAGCAAATTAAATTCTCATTGTTCTAATTCCTAGATCTTAGGCTTTAGGATCTTAATATTCATATTTAATACTGATTTTTACATTAAAACCTGTTTTACATTAAATAATCTTAAAATATCATAAGCAAATTCGCATTACTATCTTAAGATAGATTGAAATAGATTTTAAAATAGATTGAATGATATTGATCTTAGAATTTCTGATAGATATCATTAATCAATACCTTTATTGGATCGCCATAATCTTTCCATGCCATTCCTGTGTAATGCCATCCGAGAGAGCTCTGAGAAGCTCTCACGGATGTTGAAATCGCAGAGAGGTGAGACTTCAAAGAAGGCCATTCGATTCTTAGCCGCGTAAGCCTCTGCATCTCGTTCACCTACTTGCCTTTTGAAAGCCAAATGCAGACGATTGCCAACCAGTACTTTTGGTACGCCAGGAGCATGCTGTAAAAATTTCATGTAAAGATATATTTTTATATGCTATCAGAAGACTGAACCAATAATCAGATAAAATTTTAATTTGTCAAATAAAATCTGACCTCTTCAACTTCTTTCAACCACCTATCGATGCCATCAAAGGACCACTTGTTGGTAATGTCATATACCAAAAGTATACCTTGAGCACCTCTGGAATATGACCGAATAATTGTGCAGAATCTACCTTGGCCTGATGTATCCCATAATTGTAACTTGACTCGTTTTCCATCTAGTAGGATAGTGGTAGTCTTGTAAGCTGAAAAAGTAATAAAGGATCAGATCTCCATTTCTATTATTATTAGGTGTTGGAATTAATTCGTAGCGTTTTACAAGTGATGGGAAGTACTTTCATTAATGTATTTTTTAATGCTCATGTGAAATAAATAACATTCTTTCATTAAAAAACGCTACGAATTAATTCCAACACCTAATATAAATTAACTTTACTCTTGATTTTATTTACTTTTTATCTTTCTCCAGTTTGAAGAATTAGAAAAAGATAAAGAGTGAACCAGGATTAATCTATACTAGTAGAAATGAACACAAGTTTTAAATGACTTTGAAAAAAAAAAGAACTATAGAAAAGCATTATTGTTGTTTGATTACAAGTTCCAATGTATCGCAATTAATTTTTTCTTTTTATTTCCATGAAAAAAAAAGGGAAAGATGAACCATGCAAGAAATTGAGCTAAAAAGAATAGGTCTAATGTTTTGTTACATATTGAGAAGAGATACAGAAAAATTTTATGATATTGAGAGAGTGAAAAGTATTACCGCTGCCACTGCAGAACGGTGACTCGGCGGCACCGTCTTCGAGACCGCTCAAGATCTCTTGCTTGCCAACATCGCTGTCTCCCACCAGCAGGAACTTGAGCAGGTAGTCGTACTGTTTCTCCTGACGAGGCTTCGCCGTGTTGGCCTCACCCGCAGCCATAATATCCGCCTGTCGCAGACCCTGAGCATACTGCAGGCGACCAACGGGACGACCAAGCTCGCCCTGTCGCTGTCACACTTCCTCCCGTATTCGCGGTACGCGGACGGATCCTCCTTCACCAGTTTCACCACCTGCACCGCCGTCGCCACCTCGACGGCGACCTCGTCGGGCACTTGGCCGGTGAAAGCTATCGCATCGTAACGCGGTGCACAGGTACGTCGCGTCGATTCTCTCATGGATCTCGGTCGCGACGATCAGCGACGATCAGGGACGATCGTGAACACCCTCTTATTTACGCGACCGGGACACGAACCCTGACAACGCGAACGTATATCATAACAAAGCAAACAGGGCTGACAAAGCTTTCTCCACTCATCGATGCGCTGTCCTCGTTGTTGTCGCACTTGTCTGTCCCCTCAGTTCCCTATCTGCACCACATCAGTCCCTCCAAGTCTCTCACCTGGTTTCGCGTGACACTGCGCAACGAAGTTGCGCGCTGTCACGAAAATGCACGAAAATGAAATCCGCGAAGGTCGAGTACGTTCGTGATTCGCGACTCGCGAGTATCATTTGAAGTGCTGTCCTCTGAAGGAATATAAACAAATCACTTAAAGAAGAGTAAACAAAATTACACATTAAAAATACACAAAAATGTAAACAATGAAAAATTATTCGCAACCATAAAAGTGCCTTATCATTTCATAAAACAAATGCTTTATCAAGCGATCAATTTGAATGATTTCAGCGCCATCTACATTAATTAATTCCTTGCATTCGCAAATGTTACTGTTATTGGACACGTTTCTATATTTTCGATTCGTCCGGATTGTCAAATGAAACTGGTGTTTCCATGCATCGTGTTTTCATTAATAATCATGGTGGCAAACACCGTTGCGACTTTGATCGAAGATTAAAGTTAGCAGTTATCGCTAAAAGAGTTCTATGGATTGGTGTTACCAATTTCGATTAACTTTAATCGACGATTAATTCATTAAAATTGATCAATCGTATTTGTCAACGACAGAATTACTTGGGCTCAATTACACAATGTTACTTTGATTTTAAGCAAGGCTTAAAACTCTCTCTGTCTCTGTCTCTCTTTCGCTTTAGAACGAGACAGATAGAGCTTTAAGTCTCGCTTAAAGTCAAAGTAACGTTGATGCAACTGGGCTTTAGCGCTTATTTAATGATAGACTAGGGCAAAAATGATGGTCGAAATAACCAATAAGAAAACGCAACAGGAGAGCAGCCAACAGAAAAACGCGATTGTCAGCATTCGCTCAGATAAAAGGATTTGTGCTACTCTGGTAAATAATAGAATTCTATAATCGCTTGTGTTCATCCTTCTTTCTCCTCGATGAGATCAATGATACAACTGGACAACGTTGATTTAAGGAAGTTAAGATTATTCGAATCTCGAGATAAATTTCAGAAAGATAGAAAAGCTAAATCACTTCCACGCGACATAATCAAAGGAACGTCTTGGCGCAAAAATAGACAAATTCAACCGATCTTCAGTCATTTTTCCGAACAAGATCGCTCATTAGATTTGATCTATTATTACATAACATTAATACAATTATATACTCATTTCTACTTTTGATTTATTATTAACGACTCATTGTAGAAAGCCCATATCTCTGATCATCACGACTCGTTTACGTTCTCGGGAATTCTCAGTTTTCTTCGATAGTTTCTCCTTCGGGAATCCTTGAAAGGTGTGCGCGTGGAGGGAAGAGAGAATGTCGCGATGTTGGACCGGAATTGGACGTAATCGAGGGAGGGGAGGCCGCGACTCGCGCGAGTCGAGTCCCCGGCGTTCGATTTTCGATTTTCAAACCGGGCGCCGATTCGCGGTTGCCGCGTCACGTGGTGACACCCGTCCACGTTTCGGATTGTGGGTAAACAAGAGGAAGAAAATATTTGTGCGACGCGTGTATCGTCATCGTGTCGCCGGGAACGCGCGCGCGCGCGTGTCCGCTCGCCTGTTTGTCTGTCACCATTGTCATCGTTGTCGCCACTATCCTCGCTTCTCGCCGAATCTAAAGATCGAGGATCAACGAAGACCGTGACACACGAGGAGGCGAGGTGAACCCGAACGACCGCGGAGACAGGAGCGAACTTAGAAGGTGCTTGACTTGATACTGCTTGTACTCTTGACGAGCGCGCGCGCGCATGGTGAAAGAAAGGAAGAGAGAGAGAGAGAGAGAGAGAGAGAGAGAGAGAGAGAAAGAGATCACGGCATCGTGCCGATTCGTTCTGTATCCCATATTGACACACACATATACGAATAACGAACTCGGCGCGGAGAAAGGAGAGTTTGAGGAGAGCCGGCCATATTTCACATATTTCGCGAGTATACTCTCGCGTGTGCGTGTTCATACGCGGTTCGTGCCGTGTTCTCTCTCTCTCTCTCTCTCTCTATTTCTCTTTTGTCTGGCGTTTATTAGTCGCGCGCGCGCGCCCGATTTTGTCTTGCCCGCTGAAATCTCTCCTTCGACCGGGCGCTACGATTTTCTTGCCCGTCGTTTTTCTTTATCCCCCTCTCTTTCCATCCGTTCGCGAACGTCACCCCTCTCCGCTATCACGGCGCGCATACAGTACACACACCCTCTCCGTCTAATTTTCATCATCTGTATACTTGTATACCGCCTTGAGAGACGCCTGTATTCCTTGAGTTTTGCCGGTTTATTTCGACTCGCATCCGTTCGTTCCGCCGTTGCGTTTTATCTATTTATCTAGCGTATCTGAATCGCGCGAACCAGCGCGAACGTCCGTGAATTTATCTCTCTTTTTCGAGCTAGCAGCTATCTATCTGTGTTGCTCTCTCGAGTCTCGTCTTGCGCCATCTCCGTCTCCTTCACTCTCTCTCTCTCTCTCTCTCTCTGTCTCTTGTTCTCGCTCACTCTCTTTCGTTCCGCTCCTCTCCTATTTCTCTCTCTCTCTTTCTTTCCCTTTCCCCGCCCGTCTCAGTCGTCTTGCTCTCTTTTCCGTGCTTGCTCTCAGCTTATACATCACGGCTCGTTCGCTCTCGGTGCTATGTCTACGTACTCTCGTACCCAGGAGAGCGACGCGTGGGCCCTATTGGCACTGAAGTCGGCGCCGGCCAGCCCGTCGAAGATGCAGTGGAATCCGGAGTCGAGCGGGGCGCCGATAGCGCGGCTCGAGGCCCGCGAGTTCGAGTACATGGTTAGGCAACGACGCATCACGATCGGCCGCAACAGCAGCAAGGGTGAGGTCGACGTTAACATGGGCCACTCTAACTTTATCTCGCGCCGGCACCTCGAGATCTTCTACGAGCATCCATTTTTCTATATGGTCTGCAACGGCAAGAACGGCGTATTCGTCGACGGAGTATTTCAACGTAAAGGCGCCCCTGTCTATCAACTGCCAAAGACGTGAGTCTTCACTCTCCTCGCGGACATTATTTATTTATTTATTATTGTTTCACGCGCGCGACCGCCGGCTTTCTCTTCTGTATTAAACATCACCGGGTGTTACTTTTTCTTAGCCATGCTGTAACTCGCGTCGCTATACCGCGAGTTATGATAGGATCAAAGGTTTAATCATCTTGGAATATTTATGTATGTTACCTTGAATTTTATCTTCTTTATAAATGAAGCTCATAATTTTGTTTGTCGTCCTTTTTTTCTTAATCCTTAGATAATAGATAAAGATAGCCATGACCCTGGCGATTATGAAAGATGATTATGTAAAAATGGACGAACATTCAGAGTGACAATTATTTTTGTAACAGAAACAACTAGTCTTTAGATCTGTTCTTTTCAGTTCAATTTGTTAGGCCGTTTGTTTCGTTCTTTTCTGTCCAACATGGAGAGAAAAAGAAAAGGTACAATGTAAGTTTATCGGAAAAGAACAAGCTAAGTATTTATAAAAACGTGATCAAACAAAGATTCTTGTTGATATTAATAATTATAAGTCGTATAACAATTTAGAACTATAATGAAATATGAATGTATGTACTTTTTCAGACGATAAATTTATTTTTAATTTATCATTATTATTAATTCTTTGCTCCCTGGTCAATTTGGACTTCGAAGACATAGTCAATTTTGATTGTGCATTCTTGTGGATAAATTTAAATCTGTAAAAAATAAGTACAATCCGAGTTTTATGATAGTAAAAACTTGTCAAAGTTTTCGTAAGTACGCAAAAATTTTTTTAGATTTTCATACAGTTTGGAACAACATAAAAATCTGCATTAAAGCTCAAAGATCCAAGTTGTTGACAAAAGACGTAAAATTTTACATGACTGATGGAGAATTAATGTATTTATTATCATTGAATTCATGTAATTAATGATAATACTGCTTCGAATATCTTATAATTACAATTGATTTTAATGGTGTTTCAGATGTACATTCAGATTTCCAAGTACAACGATAAAGCTGTTGTTCCAATCACTTGTTGACGAGCAGGAACAGAGTAACATTCGCGTGCCCTCTCCGCCGAAGCAGCGGGCACCACTACCTCCTCTGCGGATAAACATACCGGACGCCGGATATAGCAGCCCTTTCCCGTCACCCACGGGGACAATAAGCGCCGCTAATTCGTGTCCAGCAAGTCCGCGTGCTGGTCAGGGCAGGAGAAACATTTCGGCGGATTTGCAGATGGTTGCGGCGTATGCCGCTTCCGTAGCAAACGATTCGCAGAATTCCACTTTGGATAGGCATAGCTTGGAGAGGCATGATGGTGGACAGAGCTCCAGCAGGCAAATAAGCCCAGAGCCTGGTGCTGATGCTCGTTATCGAGGTAACAGTTCAGGACCGAATGGTACAGCACCACATTACAGTCCACCAAAAGATGACTCGAAACCACCGTACTCCTATGCGCAACTGATTGTCCAGGCAATCGCCTCGGCGCATGATAAGCAGCTTACCTTATCAGGCATCTATTCATACATCACCAAGCACTATCCGTATTATAGAACCGCAGATAAGGGTTGGCAAAATTCTATACGGCATAATTTGTCGTTGAATCGCTATTTTATCAAAGTGCCCAGGAGTCAAGAAGAGCCAGGGAAGGGTTCTTTCTGGAAGATTGATCCTCAATCGGAGAATAAACTTATTGAGCAAGCGTTCAGACGAAGACGGCAACGTGGTGTACCATGTTTCCGTGCACCCTTTGGAACGTTATCGTCAAGGTAATTTTGAAAAAAGCTTTATGTTATCTGTATCGTATGTATCGATTATATATGATAATTTATTTAATATTAATTTAACACCATTTATGCTCCAATCAACAGAAGTGCTCCAGCATCTCCATCTCATGTAGGAATCAGTGGATTAATTACGCCTGAGTGTCTAAGCAGAGAGGCTTCCCCTGGACCCGAATCTTATCCGGATAGTTCGGTCCCATCTCCGGCTGGACAACTCGCGACAAGTCAATCAGCACCCGGTTCTCCCGGACATCCGTATACATCGTCCCAGACAACTCATAAGGGACGCCTGATGCAAACAGTGGTAACAAATGGTGTCAGTGGCGATGCCACAGGAAGAGAAGGTAATTGTTTTTGTCTTGTAATCTAAAAAAATTTCTTCTTTTTGAGAAATACTTTATGGCTCGTTTCTTGAAACAGAAAAATATTTGGTGCCTGGGAATGCTGTAGAGGACCATTCTTTATCTCCAGCTGGCCAATATAGTCCAGCTCCTGTTATTGTACAAACAACCTATAATTACAGGTACAATTACGTTCTTATTCGCATCTAATTCGCATGGTATTTTATTGTTTATATTTACATAATTTACAATTTTGTGTGAATTTTCTGTTCGCAACAGTGGAAATTTTATTAGCCCCGATGCTGGCATTGGGGGGGTTAGCAAACGCACTCATGAAGAATCAGACAGCTCGCCAGGTTCACCGGCCCCGCTTGCCATCGTCGAGAGCCCTGAGCCTCCTGAACATCAGCTATCGCAATCTAAACGTCAACGTATTCACGAAATGGATGATCATTGAACTGATATATCTAGCATCCTGTTACGTAGAACATTACATTTACATTATTTGCCTGTCGTCGAACACACACACACTGCAAACTTCATTTTATTTTAACCGCATAACCTGCTTTAGACTGCACATAATCGAGATCGAGCGTCAGTTCTATGTTCTCGCGAGAATTGCGAGAAACTGTCGCGTGTACGAGCCCGCAAAAGAAAATCAACCACTGAGAGAAAGAACGAGCAGAAGACACTTTTCCTATCCTAGACTTCATGTTTTCAACATGATTTTCTCAACAACAGTCAATGTACATAAGATATATATATACTTTATTAAATGCTTTCTCTTTATGACTTGTTAACTTCGGCAGAAGATATAGTATATATGTATATGGAGCTTATTTGATTGAAGGTCATCCAAAATAGTAACAGCAGCTGTTGCGCTGACACATCAAATTGCAATAATGTGATGCGGTAACGTGTGCCATTCAGCGTTTAGCCGATATATTAAATAGACAGAAGAGAAGAGAAAATGAGAGTGTTATCCAGTGTAATCCATTGAATTGAATGGAGCGAAAATGCGATTTATCCATAGCTGAATTCGCTGACCGACATTTCATTCGCGCGATTTCTGTTTTCGTATTACCGCTTGCACCAGCTTGGCGTCGTCATCGCGACTAATGAAGATTAACGATAGGCAAAGTGATAAGAGAGCTGAAAAATAATAGATTATTACAATTAGCGCTCTTTTACAAGACGCTCAATCGAACATTCTATCTGAGAACGAAGATAAAACGCAGAATATCAGTATGACAATGAGAAAACTGATAAAGAACGGGCGGATAAAACCGACGAGCTTTTGTAACGTTAACGATGTGGTCTCTGTTAGAGATTGTTACCAGAGCCAGAGGAAACAAAAAAATAGAGCCTTATAATGTATGTTTAACATTGTATAATTAATGTAAGGACGCGATTTTATGTTAGTAGAATCTAATTCGAGCTGATCGAGCGGCTATACACGGGAACATATTGTATAAATATAATACTTCTCCTGTAGGGAGTTCACATGCGCATCTCGCTGGTCCGGCGGGGAGTAGGGGAAGAAAATATCTTCCATCAAGGATTTTTTTGAATTTTTTTTTCATTCCGAGTTCTCGCCGCCCTTCGAATATGGTCGATTATTTCGTTGCCACAATGAAATGGTTCACCTAATCTAATCATTTATAATAGTCTCATTTTTAATTAATATAGGAGAAGCTGTTTCAAATTAAAAAAAAAATAGATAAAGGTAAAACGAAAGCGAAAGACAGGCGAGAGAGTTTTGTAAAACAATGTCGAGAGGAAAAATGATAATAATGCGATCGATGATAATGATGCCAAACTCGATTACTGATTCCTCCTGCGATCGGTTTACTTTTCTCGTGCAATCGTAGTTAATCTTAAACTCGCCGATTCTCCTAGAACATCGGCGTTAGGCAAGATAAAAATAAACATTAAAAAAAAAACAGGAAAAACGACACATAGTAGCGTTAGATTTACGGTGGAGCAAAAGGAGGGGCAGCAGGATTGAACGTAGATGCGTTATACGGAGATCGGAAAAGAGCGTGGTGCAATAAAGAGGCAAAAAAAAAAAAGAAAGAAAAAGGGAAGGAAAAACGAAATTTATTTTTCGCACCTTTCGCGAGAGCGAGCATTCTATCTGAAACGTTTATTTTTCTATAGTCGGACGTACATGAGCACAACAAAGGGTGGTTTTTGAAGGATGATACTGCTAGAAGGATGAACACGCTGTACAGTGTTGATACATACGTATCACGAACGACGTATGTCACTATTATTATACATATACGTACATACGTGTGCGAGATACGTGTATACACGCAGCAAATAGTAAGATAATGTTCGCGGTCGCGAGTGTGTCACGTGTGCTCGCGAAAGATCGATATGCGAAACGAGTATACGTACGCGCTACATATACACATACACACTTTCCTTCAATGTCACGATGTGCATGTATGTGTGCATATGTATAATACGCAATAAAATTAATACTACATCGTCATTCCGTTGTGCTCCTTCATTTTTTCCCCATTTACATCTCCACGTGTTTTATTTTTTTTTTTCATCAACATCCGAGTTCCAAATTCGATCGAGAAGAATGTCAGCTCGATTGAAGTTTCAGTCTCCAATTTTTCATTTAACGGTGCCATATTTTATGTTGCCATGTCGCCGGTGATTACATCTTCCAACATCTTCATGATTACTGGTCTGATTTCTGTGGCTGTACACTAGCTGTACACTTTTTGAACTTAAAGTGAGAAAGATTTATACGTCTGATATTTGTCGGAAGTGAGACAGAGAGTTCTAGTGCAGGAACAGAAAACAGACCATCAATATACATCTCTCTTTCTCTCGCTCATTCATTTTTTATATGATCAGCCGTTTCACACTCGCCACTAGAGGTCTTCCGGGTCCTCGCAATTCCAGAATCCTCCATCTCCACGCGAGGCGAGTCGCGTTGTTATGGCTGACTATGGCACTATGAAAATAATCGCCGTCTCCCGCGACTCGTCGCAACGATTAATCAACAATCGGTTGAGGGAATATTTCGATCATGGATCTAGAACGGGGCGACGCTAACATCTACGAGCTCATCACGCAGCTGATCAGGCACACGTTGCAGAGGAATCGCTCGGAGAATGGGAGTTCCTATATGCCGCCCAAGAGCGATGTCAAAATAGTGAAAGACTTTCGCTCGAAGGCTTATGAGATATTGTTAAATAAGAGTAATAAGACATACAATCAAGGTATATTTTTATGCCTTAAATTAATGGAACAAGAATAAATAAAGACAAAAAAAATACATGTATCTTTTTTAAATAATAATACTTTGTTGATCATAATTACAGGAAATGCAGTAAACTCTGATATTGATCCTCTAGTGGAGATCTTGAAGCATGCCTTCGTTCTCAGGCTAGCCCTGAAACGTGTGTCAGAGGCGAAAAAGTTAGAAAGTTTGATAAGCGAGCTGTATTCCGAGGAGGATATCACAGATACTGTAATTTATACCTTACAGTTGTTGATAGAGCTCAAAAATTTTCAGACTGATACAGGAACTGCATTGGTACTTATTTTGCCTGTTTGATTGTACAATCAGTTTTTAGAATTGATGTCAAAGCTAATATGAATCAAATTTTGTTTAGGATGTATTTCACTATGGTAAAATCAATCCTTTCTTGCCTGAGGATGTTACATCTACGAATGGTGTACCAATGTTTCAAACATATCCTATGGAATCCTTTATCTTGCCAGAAAAGTTTGAGGCGATGCTGGGCATACGCAGAACCTGTACCAGGCAAGATACAGCGACCAATTTTGTTAACAGAGTATCTTTCGAAGATGAGTGTGCATCAAAAGCCATCCTAGGTGTCCAAACAATTAGGTATGATCGCAATGATGTTAGGCCTTATTTTCTAAACAATATCTTAAGTAAACAAATATCTTTAGTTTTTTTAAATTTATTATTTTAGGTATAATAACACTATTGAAATGTCTCCCTGCATATCGAGCTGTACTGAAAATACAGCAAAACAATGTAACATACTTGCTCCTTTCTCAACACATATTATGGTAAGTTATATACATATATATATTTTTTTATATATTTGTTTATAATACATGAATTATATTTTTTTTATTAGGTTGAACAAACAAATAAGATATATTTATCTACACCAAGGTTTATGTCAAATATGACTTTACCCTGTGAATGGATAAAGTCTGTAGATAATCAAATTCAGAATCGTTTTTGTGCTGTGTCGTCGGAAAAATCCGATCGTAGTTTTACAAACGAATCAAAAAAGGTTGCAACTAACATTGATTTAATATGGAAAGAGATATTATTTTCTGACGATTGTGTCTCCAAATTACGAACGTGGGAATCTCTTGGAGCACCGGAGTTTTCCAAACAGTCGTTATTTGTCACTGATCTGCCAGAGACTGCGCTACACTTAGCGAGGATAAGACAAACAAGTATTTTATCACTGCTGCCAAAGAAGGTAAAGACGATGAAATCGCCTGTGCAAATATATCATGCAAAAATTGTTCTCTTTATGTTTTAGGTAATGAATTCCATATCCCTAATGTCGGAGGTTTCGTCTGAGAAATTTTTATCGGACATCAAATTGTTGTTATTTGGTATAGACTCGGACTCTTTTAAATATGATACTGTGGTACGTGGATTTAATGAATTACGCTAGCGCGCAGTTGCGAGTTTTATATGTCATGACAGTCTTATTTCAGACAGGATTTAAATTGGAAGAGAACATTACAGTGCATGGCATAAGCTTTAAATCATTGAAAATGACTTGCCAAGAAGCGATTTCTTGGGGCAACAGTTTCAAGTGTTTGTCGCGTCTTGTCATGCCCGATCCACAAACGGGTAAATTGCAGCAGCACGGTCTCATATTCAAGGTACATATAATTGTACGAATTTTTATGATACAATCTATTCATATTTTTTAATTACATGTGTAATTCAATTGTAGGCAATGTGCGCCAATATCAAAGAATTACTCCTTTATTATCGCTCGGCATTGCAAAGGGTTCTTAACAGACATAAATTTCCTGGATTGTTGAGTCTATTGAAACAGATTCATCCGCTGGCGCGTTTAATCGTGGAAGTCGCGAGACTGTGCGGTTGTAGCACAAATCAATACATTTTAGGCGGTGGCAGTGGAATTTTGACACACATTTACAAAGAGGTGACCAAGGTCACCAATCCAAAGATTGCATTGGTGTTTTATTCCATATTAAAATCATGCTGTGAAGTATACTTTCGGTGAGAAAACGTCATGTCTTTTTTTTTTATATTCACAAAAAGGCAAAGAATGTTAAATCGGACAAATATTTACTAATTATTCTTGTAGGTTGTTGCAAAATTGGTTGTTCGAGGGGACGTGTGATGATATTTACGGAGAATTTATGATTCAAGCACGGTCTCACTATTTGCGAAAAAGAGGACGCAAATTTTGGACGGAGAGTTTTACAATCGATACCGAATCGGTACCTGGTTTCTTATCTGAATTATCGGAGTCAATATTGCAATGTGGGAAGACATTACGACTCTTAAAAATTTGTAGTCCCAAGGTTATTACTGTTCATTACTAAAGCTTGTTTGTTTTTATAAATTTAATTGTGAATCAATAAAAAAATGTTTTAATGTTTGCATTTTAGAATCCTGTATGTAATGTGTCTCTCAACGCTCAACCGGAAGTGAGGGTCTGCTTGAGTGTGTCTATGCTGCGAGAACAATTGTTAAGGTGTCAGGAATACGAACATAAAGGCGAGGCGGCATTGGGACCAATCGTATCTCTTTTATCCGCAATTCAGGATGAAAAGAAAGCCGAGAGGGAAACGGCTGAGCTCGTGATACGCGCACAACAAGAAACATTGTTGAGGCTGGATAGTAAGATATACTTTACATTTTCAATTTAATCGAGTTCTAAATTAAAGATGTACATATATAACAGTTTCTATGATGTTTTTGTTCAGAGCAACGCAAAGAACTTAGCATGAAAGCCGCGCAAAGTAAACGGGAATTATTGCAAGAATTGAAGCAACAGGCGGAAGCGAGCGCTTTGATTAAAGAAAAGGAAAAAGAGAATGAAATGCTAGCTGACAAATTGTTGCTCGAAAAGCTTAATCGAGAGCAGGAAGAAATGCGGGAACAACAGCAAGCCGAGAAGTGAGATTTAATATGTTAAATTTAAATGAAGGTCACTCGAGAATGATTTTAATTTTAGATATTTATGGCATTAATTGTTTTGTTTCAGGGAAAATCTTGTAAATTATTATGATAAATTAACTGCTGATATAGAGAGCAATCGTGCACGATCCATTTGGCGACAGGCACGAATGAGTCATTTCGAAAAACGAGTAGAATTTTTAAAATCTGTAAAGAAACTCGATATAGAAATGTCGGAAAATGCTACTACATTAAGTTCCGATGAAAATATAGTCGTCGATATTGACGAACAAAATAAAAATACGTCCGAAGCAGAAGTTGTGTCGAGTCAAGATGAAAATAGTAACTTTGAGGAAAATGGCTTGTTGGATGTAACTGCGACAGACATTTCCGATCAGAACAATCCTAAAAATCTTTTGAACGTTGAATGCTCGGATGTTTCGCCTGTCGAAAATTGTGAGCCCGATAAAAATATTGCATCGGATGAGAAAATTACAATTGAGGATTCTCCTATTACGGCGGATACACAGAATGTACATCTACCGCAAGAAACTCCATCATTAAATTATAAGGTCTATAAGAAAAATAATGAGAAGAGCGATCTGCAGGATTTCTTGCGTGACGAAGCAATGAAAAACATCCATACTATAATAAATGGCGACGATAAAACGAGTACGCTCAATACTCGTTTAAACAACATCTTGGAAGCCAACGAGGTGACCGAGAGAATTATTGGTGCTATTAACAGGCCTAAGTCCTTAGCTATTAACAGGATAGATAATATGACCGTTGCACAAACCAATAAACTTAAAGTTCTGATGCAAGAATATGGTATGACTCCGAATAACAATGAGTTCAGTACGATACTTACGAACAATCAAAGATTTA